AATAATTTTAAAAATCCACGCCTTGAGAGCTGTTGGAAGGCTTTAAAAATTATTTTAAAAATCCACGCCTTGAGAGCTGTTGGAAGGCTTTAAAAATTATTTTAAAAATCCCCGCCTTGAGAGCTGTTGGAAGGCTTTAAAAATTATTTTAAAAATCCACGCCTTGAGAGCTGTTGGAAGGCTTTAAAAATTATTTTAAAAATCCACGCCTTAAGGTATGAATGGAGGTTTTTAAAATTATTTAAAAAACCACGCCTCGAGGTGTGAATGGAGGGTTTAAAAATTATTTAAAAAATCCACGCCTTGAAGGCTATTGGAAGGCTTTAAAAATTATTTAAAAACACACGCCTTGATACCTGTTGACAGTCTTATAAAATATTTAAAAAATTCACGCTATGAAGACTGTCTGTCCAATGACACTGTAAATAATACCTATAAAAATCTTATAAATCCGCTGCACCACCTGCTAAACCAAATATGTTTGCCAAATAAACATTGCCATGAGACAATCCATAAGCAATAAATTTGGAAACGTGATCGAAATTAAGAATAGCCAAAATTAAAATTAGAGTTAGATATGAGTGAGTGAGTACGCAGCAGATAAATTATTTGCTCGTTCCTTCGCTATATGTTGTAGATAAATGGGGCTCTAATGTCAGACTCCAGATATCTAAGAGGTTTCCACAATAACTAAAATTTTCTTCGTCCTCAACAACCCGATATTGGCTTAATCTGGAAACCCCTTTGTAAAATAAGTGAATCCCACGAAAGTTCTAATTCGCTTTTATTTCTCGTATAAAATATTCATATTACCTAAAATAAGCAACAACAACAAACATTAATTACCATTTTTATATTATTAAAGATTATTTAATGTGATGATTATTAATTACCTAACGCCGTCTATGGGCAGTCAATCGTTTTGGTTATGACAAAACCGCCCCGCTCATTCAATCGTCCAACCATCCATTCATCCAGTCAATCGGTTAATTCAGGCAGGCTGGCCTATGTCTAATTGAATAAATACCAGCTGGAAGCCATACAGCTCCCGCCCCTCCCAAAGCTAATGACTCTATTGCGTGTGTTGACGTTTCGTTAATTTTTATTGTTTTATTGCAGAGAAGAAGAAGACGACGACGACATTTGCAATAAATATTAATAGTTATCCATAGGCATACCTGTGGTCGATTTGATGGCATCCGCTAGACAAACATGGAAGAAGGTCATCAATAGAGGCGACTTGGGGGAGGCGAGAGATAGCTCTTTCTATGACGTACAATATTTTGTGGCTTATTAACTATATTTGTTGTACGTTGGGCGCCAGTAATGGGTTAGACAAGAAACAATGTCACTCTTATCACCATAAATTCAATAACTTCCTTTGAATGTCCAGGATAAATGTCCTAGTTTCCTTCAATAAATTTTCGTCTATAAATTGAACCATCTGTGTTGCTGTTGTTCGGTCTAGCCATTTGGCTGTTTACTGTTCCACTTTCCAACCCATTCCCATCACCTTAGAAGAGAGTCTCCACTACGGTCTCGTCTATAGTTTGAGATTTATGAGACAAAACTGGTTCTTTTTGTTTATACTTGCATGCTTTGTTTGTTGTTATTTCCATATGGTCGAAGCGAGCCTAGGCAGCACACACATGTTCAAATATTTCGATCAAAATAAAATTAGAATTTGTATAACATAATCGAACATGGTAGTACCGTACACGTAGTCAGGAAATAAATATTCCCAAGGTTTCAATTATTTTTTTTAATTGAAAATATCCAGAGGTAGGAAATATGGAAATTGTATAACCCAAGTAAAAATATCGTTATGCTCGACCGGGCCACCCTCTGGTGAGCATTGAAAATATCTTAAATCGAACTGCTATATGGGAACTACACCATGGCAATTTTGAAAATTTTAAAACGAATGACAAGCTTAAATATAAAAATATAGTTGATATATATGTGGTTATGTGGTGTAGGGTATTTCAACCATATGTTGGGGTAAGAGAGCATAAAATTTTTTTATATAAGTAACATACATATAAATAAATGTAAATGTTTTCTTACATATATTACTGGTGTAGCAATTTAGCGTTTTTTTTTAATCCATTTTAACGAACAATATTCTTTAAAAATCCATGTCTCTGTAGGAGCCTCAAAAAATATTCTTTAAGAAATTCACTCTTCTGTAGGAGCCCTAGAAAAATATTCTTTAAAAAATTCTAACCTCTACGGAAATTTCACATATATTATTCTTTAAATTCCTATCTTTAAGAAATCGCCTCTGTAGGAACCTAAACTTTTTTTAAATCGACTTTGCCTCAAATATATGCTTTAAACAGTCCTCGCCTTTGTAGGAACCTAAAAAAATAGTTTTTAAAAAAATACTCACCTCTATAGGAGGTGAACATTAGTAGAGGAGCCTCCAAAAATATTCTTTAAAAATTTCACGCCTTAGTGGAGGAGCCTCCAAAAATATTTTTTAAAAAATTCACACTTTAGTGGAGGAGCCTCCAAAACTAGTTTTTAAGAAATGCTTACCTCTGTAGGAGGTGAACATTAGTAGAGGAGCCTCCAAAAATATTCTTTAAAAAATTCACGCCTTAGTGGAGGAGCCTCCAAAAATATTTTTTAAAAAATCCACGCCTTAGTGGAAGAGCCTCCAAAAATATTTTTTTAAAAAAATCCACGCCTTAGTGGAGGAGACTCCAAAAATATTTTTTAAAAAATCCACTCCTTAGTGAAGGAGCCTCCAAAAATATTTTTTAAAATATCCACGCCTTAGTGAAGGAGCCTCCAAAAATATTTTTTAAAATATCCACGCTTTAGTGGAGGAGCCTCCAAAAATATTTTTTAAAAAATCCACGCCTTAGTGGAGGAGCCTCCAAAAATATTTTTTAAAAAATCAACGCCTTAGTGGAGGAAATATTTTTTAAAAATTCCACGCCTTAGTGCAGGAGCCTCCAAAAATATTTTTGAAAAAATCCACGCCTTAGTGGAGGAGCCTCCAAAAATATTTTGTAAAAAATTAAAAATATTTTTAAAAAAAACCAGCCTCCAAAATATTTATTAAAAAAACAGGCCTTAAGGGAGGAGCCTCCAAAAATATTTTTTAAAAAATCCACGCCTTAGTGGAGGAGCCTCCAGAAATATTTTTTAAAAAATCCATGCCTTAGTGCAGGAGCCTCCAAAAATATTTTTGAAAAAATCCACGCCTTAGTGGAGGAGCCTCCAAAAATATTTTGTAAAAAATTAAAAATATTTTTTAAAAAAAACAGCCTCCAAAATATTTATTAAAAAACCAGGCCTTAAGGGAGGAGCCTCCAAAAATATTTTTTAAAAAATCCACGCCTTAGTGGAGGAGCCTCCAGAAATATTTTTTAAAAAATCCATGCCTTAGTGCAGGAGCCTCCAAAAATATTTTTTAAAAAATCCACGCCTTAGTGGAGGAGCCTCCAGAAATTTTTTTTAAAAAATCCAAGCCTTAGTGCAGGAGCCTCCAAAAATATTTTTTAAAAAATCCACGCCTTAGTGGAGGAGCCTCCAGAAATATTTTTTTAAAAAATCCAAGCCTTAGTGCAGGAGCCTCCAAAAATATTTTTGAAAAAATCCACGCCTTAGTGGAAGAGTCCCAAAAATATTTTTTAAAAAATCCACGTCTTAGTGGAGGAGACTCCAAAAATATTTTTAAAAAATCCACGCCTTAGCCACCAAAAATATGGAGGAGCCTCAACAATTATTCTTTAAAAATCCACGAATCTGTGGGAACCTTTGAAAAATGTTCCTAAAAAAAATCCACGCCTCTGTGGGGACCTTAGAAAAATGTTCCTAAAAAAATCCACGCCTCTGTGGGAACCTTAGAAAAATGTTCCTAAAAAAAATCCACGCCTCTGTGGGGACCTTAGAAAAATGTTCCTAAAAAAAATCCACGCCTCTGTGGGGACCTTAGAAAAATGTTCCTAAAAAAATCCACGCCTCTGTGGGAACCTTAGAAAAATGTTCCTAAAAAAATCCACGCCTCTGTGGGAACCTTAGAAAAATGTTCCTAAAAAAATCCACGTCTCTGTGGGAACCTTAGATAAATGTTCTTTAAAAATCCACGCCTATGTGGGAACCTTAGAAAAATATTCTTTAAAAATCCACGGCTATATGGGAACCTTAGAAAAATATTCTTTAAAAATCCACGCCTCTGTGGAAACCTTAGAAAAATTTTCTTTAAAAAAATCCACGCCTATGTGGGAACCTTAGAAAAGTATTCTTTAAAAATCCACGCCTATGTGGGAACCTTAGAAAATTTTTCTTTAAAAAAATCCACGCCTCTGTGGAACCCCTGGAAATTTTTATCAAATCCGATGTTTATATTCGATTCCTATACGCGATTAAAAACCTCCGCTTAAGCATCACTTAACAAATAAATTTACACATAAGTGACAACAGCATATGGGTTAATATTACTCTGGAGATCCAATAGACGATAAAACAAAACAAACTTGTATTTCAAAACAAAAATATAAAACAATGAGACTACAACAACAACACCCGCGTTCACCACACGAACAGCTGATAAAACAACAAATAAAACGTGTTAAGAGTAAGAGTGAGTGAATATTTACCAAAAAATATATACAGAGAACCGAAACGGAAACGAAACCACAACAACAATTTCAAAATAAATACAATAAAAACAACAACAATAAATGGATATGATCTCAAATCTCGAAAAAAAAACCAAACGTCTGGGGACACAACTGAGTAGTCGGATGAGAAGCAGTAGTTCCACATTGCCACTAAACGCTCACTCACTCAGAGCAAAACGTGTAAGGTAAAAAATAGTTTTAATAGTGAAATCAAAGCATCTACAAGTTATGGCCTAAAGTCGGCGTGCCAAAATTTCGAAAATAAAAAAAATCCGAACACGAAAAGTTTCCACACCGAAAATAGGCAGCAGAAATAAAATTAACCCAATCAAATTGGGTGATACTGTAACAATCAGCAATAAAATGTCCACGCCAGCATCAATTTATCCTGATATTGGACCACCACCTCTAGCCCAGAGCACCACCAGCCCCACCTATACAACAACACAACAGCGCATGGAAGATGATGAAAGGTGTGCAAAAATAAAACGTTTTGTTGGTGGAGCCGTATTGATAGCCTTGGTTATCATAGGCTGGCATTTGTATGGTAAGACTGCAGCTTACAGCTGTAAACTGTAGCATTACGGAAGTGCACTGAGCTAAGCTAATGATCTGTGTTTTTTTGTTTGTTTACTTCCGTTTAGAACATTTTACCTATGATCCTCTACACAATGTGCCTGAATCTCCAACAGAGCATGAAATTCACGAATTCACACGCAGCCTCTACGAACTGGAAATGCAACATAATCCATATTTGGCCAAAGTTAATTTCCAGGGGCGGACGAAGGCATCGTATCGGGATGATAGGGCACCACATCCGTAAGTAAGCAAAATAATGGATTTTTAAAAGAATACTTTTTTGTGGCTCATACAGAGGCGTGGATTTTTTAAATAATTTTTTTCTCAGGCTTCCACAGAGGCGTGGATTTTTTAAATAATTTTTTTCTCAGGCTTCCACAGAGGCGTGGATTTTTTAAAGGATATTTTTCTAAGGCTTCCAAAGAGGCGTGGATTTTTTAAAGAATATTTTTCTAAGGCATCCACAGAGGCGTGGATTTTTTAAAGAATATTTTTCTAAGGCTTCCACAGAGGCGTGGATTTTTTAAAGAATATTTTTCTAAGGCTTCCACAGAGGCGTGGATTTTTTACAGAAAATTTTTCGATGGATCCCACAGAGGCGAGGATTTTTAAAGAATATTTTTCTAAGGCTTCCACAGAGGCGTGGATTTTTTAAAGAATATTTTTCTAATGCTTCCACAGAGGCGTGGATTTTTTAAAGAATATTTTTCTAAGGCTTCCTCAGAGGCGTGGATTTTTTAAAGAATATTTTTCTAAGGCTTCCACAGAGGCGTGGAATTCTTAAAGAATATTTTTCTAAGGATCCCGCAGAGGCGTGGATTTTTCAAATAATATTTTTCTAAGGCTTCCACAGAGGCGTGGATTTTTTAAAGAATATTTTTCTAAGGCTTCCACAGAGGCGTGGATTTTTTAAAGAATATTTTTCTAAGGCTTCCACGGAGGCGTGGATTTTTTAAAGAATATTTTTCTAAGGCTTCCACAGAGGCGTGGATTTTTTAAAGAATATTTTTCTAAGGCTTCCACAGAGGCGTGGATTTCTTAAAGAATATTTTTCTAAGGATCCCGCATAGGCGTGGATTTCTTAAAGAATATTTTTCTAAGGCTACCACAGAGGCGTGGATTTTATAAAGAATATTTTTCTAAGGCTACCACAGAGGCGTGGATTTTTAAAGAATATTTTTCTAAGGCTACCACAGAGGCGTGGATTTTATAAAGAATATTTTTCTAAGGCTACCACAGAGGCGTGGATTTTTAAAGAATATTTTTTGAGGCTACCACAGAGGCGTGGATGTTTTTATGAATATTTCTTGAGGCTCCCACAGAGGCGTGGATGTTTTTATGAATATTTCTTGAGGCTCCCACAGAGGCGTGGATGTTTTTATGAATATTTCTTGAGGCTCCCACAGAGGCGTGGATGTTTTTATGAATATTTCTTGAGGCTCCCACAGAGGCGTGGATGTTTTTATGAATATTTCTTGAGGCTCCCACAGAGGCGTGGTTGTTTTTATGAATATTTCTTGAGGCTCCCACAGAGGCGTGGATGTTTTTATGAATATTTCTTGAGGCTCCCACAGAGGCGTGGTTGTTTTTATGAATATTTCTTGAGGCTCCCACAGAGGCGTGGATGTTTTTAGAGCCTTGAGTTTTTTAAAGAATAATTTTTAGCGGCCTACGGAGCCCTGAATTTCTTAAAACATTTAAAAACCAGTAAGGAAAGTAGTAAAGTCGGACGGGGCCGACTATATGATACCCTTCACCACTATGGGTATATTAAACAGGACTACTAGCATGAACTTGAATGAAATAAAATATGTGATATTTATCTAAATGTTAATCTACGTATATCTATCCATAAAGTATGTAAATCGACTTCAAACAAATATAAATGGGTCATCCGTTGGGCTATGTCTGTACTTCTAGAAAACGCAACTACATAATTCTATGCTCAATTTTGTACGTTGTGCAAAATTTGATGTCAAACTGACTAACATGAGGAGTTTGATGCCCAATTTACTTGAAATCGGGCGAAAATATATATGGAAGCTCTATCCAAATATTAAGCGATTTCAAACAAACTTGTGACAGAAGGTTAGACTAATTTCAGAACGTTTTGTTCCTATTGGTTCTTGGTGCGTCAATTACTTAAAATCAATCTATAATAAAAAGGAGCTATATCTAAATCTGGACCGATTTTCACGAAACAACGCAGACATCACTCTAGGCTCAATTCAGTACGTTATGCCAAATTTTGTGCAAAACGAAAGATATATAGGGACTTTGGTGCAACATTTACATGAAATCGGACGAAACTATATGTGGGAGCTATATAGAAATCTGGACCGATTTTCACGAAACTTGGCAGACATCATTCTAGACTCAATTCAGTACGTTATGCCAAATTTCGGGCAAATCGAAGGATATATATGGACTTTGGTGCACCATTTACATGAAATCGGACGAAACTATATATGGGAGCTATATGTAAATCTTGACCTATTTTCACGAAACTTGGCAGACATCATTCTAGGCCTAAATGATTAGGCTGTACCAAATTTCGTGCAAATCAAAAGATATATAGGGACTTTGGGCACCATTTACATGAAATCGGACGAAACTATATATGGAAGATATATCTAAATCAGGACCGATTTTCATGAAACTTGGCAGACATCATTCTGGGCTCAATTAAGTACGTTATGCCACATTTCGTGCACCTCGAAGGATATATAGGGACTTTGGTGCACCATTTACATGTAATCGGACGAAACTATATATGGGACCTATATCTAAATCTGGACCGATTTTCTCGAAACTTGGCAGACATCATTCTGGGCTCAATTAAGTACGTTATGCCAAATTTCGTGCAAATCGAAGGATATATATGGACTTTGGTGCACCATTTACATGTAATCGGACGAAGCTATATATGGGAGCTATATCTAAATCTGGACCGATTTTCTCGAAACTTGGCAGACATCATTCTAGGCTCAATTCAGTACGTTATACCAAATTTCGTGGAAATCGAAAGATATATAAGAACATTAGGGCACCATTTACATGAAATCAGACGAAACTATATATGGGAGCTATATCTAAATCTGGACCGATTTTCTCGAAACTTGGCAGACATCATTCTGGGCTCAATTAAGTACGTTATGCCAAATTTCGTGCAAATCGAAGGATATATAGGGGCTTTGGTGCACCATTTACATGTAATCGGACGAAGCTATATATGGGAGCTATATCTAAATCTGGACCGATTTTCTCGAAACTTGGCAGACATCACTCTAGGCTGAATTCAGTACGTTATGCCAAATTTCGTACAAATCAAAAGATATATAGCGACTTAGGGGCACCATTTACATGAAATCGGACGAAACTATATATGGGAGCTATATCTAAATCTGGACCGATTTTCACGAAAATTGCCAGACATCACTCTAGGCTTAATTCAGTACGTTATGCCAAATTTCGTGCAAATCAAAAGATATATAGGGACTTTGGGGCACCATTTGTATGAAATCGGACGAAACTATATATGGGAGCTATATCTAAATCTGGACCGATTTTCACGAAACTTGGCAGACATCACTCTAGGCTGAATTCAGTACGTTATGCCAAATTTCGTACAAATCAAAAGATATATAGGGACTTAGGGGCACCATTTACATGAAATCGGACGAAACTATATATGGGAGCTATATCTAAATCTGGACCGATTTTCACGAAAATTGGCAGACATCATTATAGGCCTAAATGATTAGCCTGTACCAAATTTCGTGCAGATCGAAAGATATATAGGGACCGTTTACATTAAATCGGTTAAATATATATATGGGAGCTATATCTAAATCTGAACCGATTTTTCCCAATTTCAATAGGGTTCGTCCTTGGGCCGAATAAGTGACCTATGCCAAATTTCATCCAATTCGGATCATAAATGCGACCTGTACTTTGTTTACAATTTAACATGGACAGACAGACGGACAGACGGACAGACGGACAGACGGACGGACGGACGGACGGACATGCATAAATCGACTTAGAAAGTGATTCTATGCATATTCTCAAAAGGAACCATGGGTCTATCTCAATTATTTTTGCCTGTTACAAACATATGCACAAAGACATAATACCCTGTACCACAGCGTGGTGAAGGGTATAAAAATACCACTTTTTTTATATAATAATTGTTATTTGTTTGTTTTTTTTTCAGCCTCTTGCAGGTCAACGAAGATTTGCTGGCCTCGGAAGCTGTTGAATCTCGCACCATTGTCTTAATGCGACGCTTGTTCGATAACTACGAACTAGACACACATACAGTGGAACATGTCACCGAGGAAGAGCAGCAAGAGGAAGATGAATTTCTAAGAGCAGTGCTGGATACCCCGGTCATGAAGAAGACAATGAAGTTTTTGGAATTTAAAGGTAGGATCAGGAAAAATATTCCCTCTCCTTATTATAGATTTGTATGTTATCTTGTTCCTTCAGGTGTTGCCACCAATAACCGAGATTCCCAGCTGCGACTTCTCAAAGATATGTGGTTTTCACAATATTCCCGTGGCCAGGGCCGCATTGGTAGTTCGGGATTTGAACATGTATTTATGGCCGAGATCCGTGATGGCACCATACTGGGTCTACATAATTGGGTGTATTTTCATGAGCAGGAAAAACAAGGGCATTTGAATTATAAGGGCCACATAGATAAATTGAATTTGGAAAAGGTTGGACAATCGGAACAGAATACTTTTTGGCTTTTGCGATAATGTTTGGTTTTATTTCTTACAGGATGGTCACTATCTTATGGCCTTGCGTTTTAGCTTCCACAACATCAACAAAGCCTATAATACCCTGTTTGTTGGTACCTCTCCTGAGCTGGAACTCAGCCTTTATACCATGTGTTTCCTGCTGAGTGTGGGTCAACCCTGTGGTGTGCAACTGGGTCATGTGAAATTTAGTATAATTACCCATGCCTGGGATTGGCATGGCAAGAAAATGGTGGCCACCGCCTATCCATCGCTGGATAAATAAATGAATCTCAGCGCCATCCTCGGACTACCTCTTGTAGATAAAAATCGCCTTTTTATAATAAATTAATTTTATTATTTTTTTAAATATTTATTTTTTCTTTTTGTAGATTTCAACTCGATTACAAAATACAATTTACAAATGGTCACGTTCCTATTACACCCAATCCCCTCCCCTTACATACTCTCCTCTCCCGCCGCTATGACTAGTCTCTTTAATGTTGATTCATATCCTGAATTGGTATCCTTCGAATTGTTGTGGGTGTGGGTGTCATTGTCATTTCAGATATGGAATCGTAGTGTTGTTCTTCACCCTCCTCCATTCGCGGCGTGGCCAACTCATCTACCTCCGTATCCGAATCACCATAGGAACGTATTAAACTTGGACTACTTATACTAAATTCCAAATCGAACGGATCCAAGCAATCAAATGTTAGATTCGTACTCAAATCCAGCTCAGGATCTCGACTACTTTTTGGTTGCTGACGTGGAAGACTGTTGTGGCAGATTGGATTTTCCGCTGGCGACGCCTCCAGCTGCAGCTGTTGGCCCCACAGAGCCACTGCCCGTTCGCGATTGAGTGCGGCCTTCTGCTGGGCCATTTCCGCCAGTGGCATTTGTTGGTGTTGCAGCTGCTGCAGCAGCAGCTGTTGATGCGATGGCTGGTGGTGTTTGTTTCTCTTGCGCTGCATCCCCGTCGCCTTGAAGTCCTGTTGCGGCACTAGGCTCGGTGGTGTCGTACTGATATGCAGAGGTGTCATAATCTGTGGCATTGTAGTCATAGCCGGTGGTATCATAACCCGCTCCGCTGGCATCATATTGTCCTGGGTCATATTGGGATTGATCGTAGTTTTGGTCATAGCCACCGGTGTTGTATTGCTGTTGGTCATATCCCTCATAGCCACTGTAGTCGTCGGCTGTGTAGTCGCCAGTAATTGGTGCTGCAGAGGCCAAGTTTGCATCTTTCCCGGCGACGGACTGTTGTTGTGGTTCTGTTGTGTTATTTGGATTGCCAACATTTGAGTCTCTTCCCGGCTGTTGTTGTTTGGATTTCTCTCCTTCGCCAATGTTGTCCTTGATATTTTCGTCATCGTTGTCATTGTTGACGAGTGCACTCGGTCCCGGCTTATAGTCATATCCTGTGGATTTATAATCGCTGTTGTCGTATGTGGATATTCCGGGTGTGGTAAGGGATTTTGTGACGCTGTCATTGTCTCGGTCGCCGGAAGTTTTACCCAATATGGAGTCATAGGTGTAGGGATTCGTTTTGCCACTGTAGTCGTCTGTGGCAAGGGTTGTTGTTGTTGTTGGTCGTGGAGTGTTGTCGGTTGTGCCAAATGTGGTCGGCTTGTAGTCGAGAGAGGCTAAATGGGAGGGATAGAGAAAATAATTAAATTAATTATAAGAAAAAGGGATTTTTAGGAATATTTTCCGAAAGACTCTGAAAGAATGAATTATTAGATTCTTTAAAGAATATCAGAAGTGTATATCTTTTTTTTAAATTCTTTTTTTTTCAAGGGACTATGAGAGACTTGCATTATTTTAAAAAATATTTTTTTATAAACTATCAGAGGCGTGGATATTTTAAAAAATATTTTATATGGACCTACATATATTTTATATATATATATTTAAAAAAAAATATTTTATAAGGACCTATATATATTCTTTCAAGAGACTATCATAGTCTTGGGTTTTTAAAAAAAAATATTATTTCAAGAGACTTTCATAGGCGTGGATGAAAAAAATATTCTTTCAAGAGGCTATCATAGGCGTGGATTAAAAAAATAGTTTTTAAAGTATTAATAAAAGAGGTGGATTTAAAAAAAATATAAAGGTTAAAAAAGCCGTGGATTTTAAACAAATATTATTTCAAAGGTTAATTAAAGGCGCGGATTTTTAAAACAATTTTTTCAATGGTTTACCTAAGGCGCGGATTTTTTTAAAGAATATTATTTTCATGTCGTGAATTAATAAAAAAATATCCTTCTTTTTTCCTTTTAAAGCGAGGATTTTGAAAAGCATATTTTTATACCCTTCACCACACTGCGGTACAGGGTATTATGACTTTGTTTATATGTTTGTAACAGACAAAAGGAAACGAGATAGACACATGGTTCCTTTTGAGAATATGCATAGAATCACTTTTTAAGTCGATTTATGCATGTCCATCCTTCCCTCTGCCCGTCTGACTGACCGTGTTAAATTGTAAACAAAATACAGGACGCATTTATAATTCGAATTGGATGAAACTTGGCACAGCTCTTTCATTTGACCCAAGGACGAACCCTATTGAAATTGGGAAAAATCGGTTCAGATTCAGATATAGCTCCCATATATATTTTCGTCCGATTTAAGGTAAATGATGTCCCAAGGTCCCTAAATATCTTTCGATTTCCAGGAAATTTGGCACAGGGCACTGAATTGAGTCTAGAATGATGTGTGTTATGTTTGCTGAAAATCGGTTCAGATTTAGATATAGCTCCCATACATATATTCATCCGATTTAAGGTAAATGGCGCACCAAAGTCCCTAAATATCCTTTCGATTTGCACGAAATTTGGTATAGTGTACTGGATTAGGTCTAGAATGATGTGTGTTAAGTTTGCTGAAAATCGGTTCAGATTTTGATATAGCTCCCATATATATATATATATATATATATATATATATATATATAAATTTGGTACAGCGTAATGAAATAGGTCTAGAATGATGTGCGCTAAGTTTCGTGAAACCCGGTTCAGATTTAGATATAGCTCCCATATATATATATATATATATATTCGCCCGATTTAAGGTAAATGGTGCACCAAGGTTCCCAATTTTTTTCGATTTGCACGAAATATGGCACAGCGTACTGAATTGAGTCTAGAATGATGTGTGCTATGCTTCGTAAAAATCGGTTCAGATATATATATATATATATAGCTCCCATACATATATTTGTCCGATTTAAGGTAAATGGCGCACCAAAGTCCCAAAATATCTTTCGATTTGCACGAAATTTCGTATAGTGTACCGGATTAGGTCTAGAATGATGTGCGTTAAGTTTGCTGAAAATCGGTTCAGATTTAGATATAGCCCCCATATATACTTTCATCCGATTTAAGGTAAATGGTGCACCAAAGTTCCTAAATATATTTCGATTTGCACGCATTTTGGCACAGTGTACTGAATTCAGCCTTGAATGAGGTGTTCTAAGTTTTGTGAAAATCGGTCCAGATTTAGATATAGCTCCCATATATATTTTCGTCCGATTTAATGTAAATGGTGTACAAAAGTCCCTATATATCTTTCGATTTGCACGAAATTTGGCACAGCGTACTGAATTGAGTCTAGAATGACTTGTGTTAAGTTTGCTGAAAATTGGTCCAGATTTAGATATAGCTCACATATATATTTTCATATATATATTTATTTATAGCGTACTGAATATATATCTAGAATGATATGTGTTAAGTTTTCTGAAAATTGGTCCAGATTTATATATAGCTCCCATATATATATATATATATTCATCCGATTTAAGGTAAATGGTGCACCAAAGTCCCTAAATATCTTTCGATTTGCGCGAAATTTTGCACATCCTACAGAATTGAGCCTAGAAATATGTGTGTTAAATTTCGTGAAAATCGTTTCAGATTTGGATATAGCTCCCATATATATTTTCGTCCGATTTAAGGTAAATGGTGTACCAAAGTTCCTATGTATCTTTCGATTTGCACGAAATTTGGCACAGCGTACTGAATTGAGTCTAGAATGATGTGTGCTAAGCTTCGTAAAATTCGGTTCAGATTTAGATATAGCTCCCATATATATTTTCGCCCGATTTAATGTAAATGGTGTCCCTATATATCTTTCGATTTGCACGAAATTTGGCACAGCGTATGTGTTCTAAGTTTCGTGAAATTGGTTAAGATTTAGATATAGCTCTCATATATATTTTCGTCCGATTTAATGTAAATGGTGCACCAAAGTCTCTATATGTCTTTCGATTTGCACGAAATTTGGCACAGCGTACTGAATTGAGCCTAGAATGATGTGTGCTAAGTTTCATGAAAATCGGTTCAGATTTTGATATAACCCTTTTATATATTTTCATCCGATTTAATGTAAATGGTGCACCAATGTCCCTAAATATCTTTCGATTTGCACGAAATTTGACACAGCATACTGAATCAAGCCTAGAATGATGTGTGCTAAGTTTCATGAAAATGGGTTCAGATTTGGACATAGCTCCCATATATATTTTCGTCCGATTTAAGTTAAATGGGATACATCTATGTATCGCAAGTTTCGTTGAAATCGGTTGTTATCTGTTAGAATGCATCTGTTGGATATATCCAAAATGGTGAAGGATCTGACTTTACTACTTTCCTTACTGGTTTTCTAATATTTTTCTTAGAGTCTATCTAAAAAGTAGATTTTGTTATATAGATTTTTACGGGTAATTATTTATTTTATATTTCTTAAGTGCTTCAAATATTCTCTTATTATTGGTGCACTGTTTAACTCTCTTAGTTTTATCATGACATTACCTTTGCCTGCTGATGGTAAACTGTCGTATGATGTCGGTGTATTGTCTAATTTACCAATACGATCATTGCTCATCATACGATTTGTTAAATATTCTACATTTGATTGTAATGAAGATATTTCCGTTCTTTTGTTTAGCACGGGATATCATTAAGAGAGAGGGAGCAAGTTGAAAGAGAAAGTTTTAAGATATAGAAGAGAAAGAGAGAAAAGGAAGAAGAAGAAAGAGAAATTCGATTAGTTACATTATGTCCTCTATACAAACCTTATGTTGCTGTTGTTTTTGTTTTTGTTGATCATGTTGACTAATTTGTGTTGGTGTAATTTCAAATGTCTCATTATTAGAATTATGCTCTTCCTCAATAGTACTGCGCTCTTGATCGCTATTCGAGTCGCGGCGATAATTTTGCACTGTATTATTGAGATCTTTATAACTGGCCCAGATCTGTTTCAGACGATCCATGAGCTTTGAGTTCATATCACGTAAATGTTGTTTCTCCAAACTGGTAGAGGGAGAAAAAGAGAATTATATAAAGAGAAATTTCAAATTAAGAGAAAAATAAATAAAATGGAAAATCAATTAAAAACTAAAATAAAATTTTAAAATATTATAATAAATTAAAATAAAATTATAGAGAGTAATTTTTTTCTTTCTCTTCCTTAATTTGAGTAAAGAGCATAATTCCGTTGAAAATGTATTTTTTTCTCTCTTAAGATATTAACCCATAAATGTTTCAGATATTCTTTTCGGATTCTCTTTTGTTCGTTTAAAGTTTGGTGGCTTCGGTATCGGAATTTTCAAAATCCAAATACAATTCATTGTCATCGGTACCAGGTGTCGTGTTGGTGGTATTGGTTGTTCCTCTCTCTGGGGGAGTTTCTTCTACATTGTCTTTGCTCTCTTGCGGTTGCAGGGGTTCCACCTCTTTCTTTTCCACTTCCTTGTTACGTCCTGACGACTTTGGCACCAATCGAACATTAACATCAACCATAAATGGTTTCGATTTTGGTCGTTCTTCGGTCTCGGCTTTAAAACTGTGTTCGGTATTAACGGCCTTATCTTGTTCCTGTTTTGTCTTCGCATTTGTATTGGTGGCCAACAAATCCTTGAGACATTCCTTGTTATTACAACATGTCTGAATAATATGTTTGGTATGACAACATGTTGTCACATGAAGCTGACCACCATCTGCTGTGGCTGGCCTGCTGCCTGCCGTGCGATCAGTATCTATGGTCACATGGCTGTGATCCGTAGTCTGACATTTGTGACAGGATCTGATGGTTTGCCTTAAAACCAGATGCTGTTGCAACCATGGCAACGGTTCGGTTTTATTATTGGCTTCCGATTTTAAACTATCTACACCACGATCGTGGGAATGGCATCGGGTGTGGTGGTGTTCTCTGTGGCCATGCTGATGATGATGACGATGCTGATGATTGTGACATTTACGCCTGGGTATATGCTCTCTTAATCTATTTTGACATTGTGGATCGTCAGTGTTCACAGAGGTTGTGGTCTCTACTTGGGTGTGTGCATGATGACGGTGTGCGGTGGTGGTTTGATCATCTTGGCAACGGCTGTGGGAACACCTCGCCGCCGATGGTGGGTGCATGTCTAGGTTGTGATCATGTTGCAAACATTTTTTGGTATTACTAATCGTATGTTTTTGACAATGTGGCAACAATGGTTGTGGAAATAGTGTTTGTTGTTGTGGTGGCTGTGATTTGGTATTTTGTGTATTTCTATGAAGTTTTGAGTAGGCAGTGGCCGTTATGGGATTGCCATATTTTTTAAAATCCCTAAAAATGGGATTTACAGGGATTTTATTCCCCACCGGTCCTTCGTCCTTATCATTATTCCTTTGCTGGGAAATCGAAAATCTTGAGGGCGAACAATGACATTTCGTTAAATTTTCCGAGGATCTATTTCTAAAGTCTATGCTAGGTGTCAGTTTTGGCAATGGCGGCATTTTGGCCCAATCCAAATCTAAACGTTCTATACTACGTGATATATTTTGCCAAATATTCTCATCATCAAAACGAGAAGTGTACACGTTTGCGTTTTCTTTCTTTTCCGCTGGCACTACAATTTCCTCTTGGCTCGGTTTCAATTCCGCCTTCTCCTCCGTCGCCTCCTCCTGCTCCTCCATTTTCACTTGCATCATTCCAGCATTGTGTGGGGTATCCATTACTTCGTCTTTTAAGGCATCGTTGGGAGATGGCACAGTGTTGGGTTTTGGAAATTCTGGTTTCAGTTCTTCTGCATTTCGTTGTGGAAAGCGAAATCGTGGTGTATCGTAGATGGCGCAGAGCAGCACGAAAAAATTTACAATGACAGCATGTTAACCAAAATTTGTAGTATGTCTTTGAGATTTTTGTTTCAGTTTTTTTTTTTTCTCGAGTGTATTGGAAGGTGTTGAATTTTTGTGTAGGGTGGTGATTGTTGTTTAGCAAATGACTGAATATGAATAATATCGAACTTAAAAATACATTCAGAAAAATTATAAAATATATATCCTAGATGACGACGAGTGTTGTATGATTGATGATCCTGTTCGATATTTGTATCCAGTGTTGTAAGTTTGGGTAAATGGGAGAGCATTAAGAAGGGAATGAGGACATTTTTCAATAGAGGAGATGACGGCCTTTTCTATGGATTATATGTTTTATAGATATCTAAATACAAGGGGTCTACTTAGGCGTGGATTTTTTAAATAACTTTTTTTCATTGGCCTACAGAGGTGTGGATTTTTAAAATAATTTTTTCATTGACCTACTTAGGCATGAATTTTTAAAATAATATTTTCAGGACTCCTACTGAGGCATGGATTTTTAAAATAATATTTTCAGGGCTCACACTGAGGCATGTGTTTTTTAAATATTTTTTTCATGGACCTACTGAGGCGTAGACTTCTAAAATATTTGTTCATGGACCTACTGAGGTGTGGATATCTAAAATATTTTTTTATGGACCTACTGAGGCGTAGATTTTTAAAATAATTTTTTTCATGAACCTACTGAGGCGTAGATTTTTAAAATAATTTTTTTCATGGACCTACTGAGGCGTAGATTTTTAAAATAATTTTTTTCATGGACCTACTGAGGCGTAGATTTTTAAAATAATTTTTTTCATGGACCTACTGAGGCGTAGATTTTTAAAATAATTTTTTTCATGGACCTACTGAGGCGTAGATTTTTAAAATAATTTTTTTCATGGACCTACTGAGGCGTAGATTTTTAAAATAATTTTTTTCATGGACCTACTGAGGCGTAGATTTTTAAAATAATTTTTTTCATGGACCTACTGAGGCGTAGATTTTTAAAATAATTTTTTTCATGGACCTACTGAGGCGTAGATTTTTAAAATAATTTTTTTCATGGACCTACTGAGGCGTAGATTTTTAAAATAATTTTTTTCATGGACCTACTGAGGCGTAGATTTTTAAAATAATTTTTTTCATGGACCTACTGAGGCGTAGATTTTTAAAATAATTTTTTTCATGGACCTACTGAGGCGTAGATTTTTAAAATAATTTTTTTCATGGACCTACTGAGGCGTAGATTTTTAAAATAATTTTTTTCATGGACCTACTGAGGCGTAGATTTTTAAAATAATTTTTTTCATGGACCTACTGAGGCGTAGATTTTTAAAATAATTTTTTTCATGGACCTACTGAGGCGTAGATTTTTAAAATATTTTTTTAAAATTAGAAAAATACCTACTGATATGATAAAATATGACCCCAAAACCTCATTTTGGTCAATCTTCTCTCCACTTCCCAACCTTCCCCTCTTTAATGCTCTCTCAAATATTTAAATCATTTATATATTTTACTGGTAATATTAAATTTGTTAATTACTTGTGTTTTAACGTTGTATCTTCTAATTTATTCGTTAACGCTTTACATTCGCCGGTTAATTTATCCATGAGTTGCTTTTGACTTTGTATCATTTCTTCGAGTTCGTTAACAGTTTCAGCTAAAAAACAAAATATTCACAGAATACAAAACAAATGAATTAAATGTGGAAATATACTCTGTTATCTTAATTAGTTATTGAATTTACTTGAAAAGAAGTTGCAGTGAAAAGGCAATACTAAAATCTACTGGCAACTCATGGATAAACTATTGATTGCTCAAATTTAATCTTTTATTATTAGCTATTTATTTATAAAACTTTTTGGCGGGCGAATATTTAAAAAATCCATATTTTTTTCAATTTTTTCATGTAAAATGATTTTTGTTATTTCTTTGTAATTTATTTTTTTGAATGACATTTATTTGATTCTTTTAATATCGTTTTATTTTATGGACGTTTACACAAGGACACAAATCAATAGCTTAACCAGAGTCTGTCTAATATGACTAGGTTCGGGGGTGCGGGTCGTCAATGCAAAATGATAAAAAAAGGTTTCTTTAAAAAATAAGTGCCAACATGCAAAAGAATTGTGCGGGAGAATATAATACAAATAAGGTTCAGATTTAGATATAGCTCCCATATATATTTCCGTCCGATTTTATGTAAATGGTGCACAAAAGTCCCCATATATCCTTCGATTTCCACGAAATTTGGCGCAGCGAACTGAATTAAGCCTAGAACCAGTGAGCGGAGCAGTATAATCGGACGTGGCCGACCATACGATATCCTACACAACTACCACGGAACTCTAACTCTCTGCGAATGTTTATTTCGAGTCTGAATAATATTTCGTGATATTTGCCCCCCTCTTGCCCGATTAGAGGTCAACAGCAACTCTTCCTTACATTTCGGAATATTCACTACAGCCCTTCTAATTACTTATCCAGATTCCCTTCACGGTGGGTTGTGTTGTGGTGTTCGGATTATATTCGACTCGAAAACACACAAAAAATTAAGTTTTCCGTCCATTTCATCCCAATACTATTATCTGATCATCACCGAAAATTTTAGGCGTTGTCCTTGAGCATAACTGGAACTTCATGTAAAATTTCAAAGCGATTAGCGCGATCAGTCAAAAGCCCTCTAATGTGGTAATGGGTTACCAAATAATATCTGAATACGTAAGAACCTGTAAATATTTGAGTGTAACTCCCAGATCTGAGTAGATACATAACTGTATTTGGCAATAATTGAAAGGCCAACCACTCCTCTTGGATATTCTATCAACTCCTCGGGTCTATATCCTTCAGGAGTAAATATATAAGCCCCAGAATAAAAATGTGGTAATTTTTCATACAAAAGTCAGGGTTCATTTGAACCGCTAAATATTGACCGATATTTATCAAAACAGCCATGCTTATTCTTTGGCCCGAACCCCTTCTCCATGTAAAATTTCGCGATGTTCGGGCCATAATTACGGCCTCTATAGCAGCCAGAAAAACCGACAAAAATTAAGTATTTGGTCCATTTCATCCCCTAAATATTAACCGATCTTTATCAAAAAGAATAGGGGTCTTCATTGGGCAGAACCCTTCCTACATGCAAAATTTCATGAAGATTGGTCTATAACTGTGGCCTGTATCGTATTTACAAATTATAATGGACAGACGGACGGACGGTCACACATGTCTAGATCGACTCAGCTAGTCGAGATATGACCATCGGTATACTTAAAGGTCGGTCTAGGACCAATATTTCGCGGCGTTACAAACTCTTGGGGCTGCACAAAGCTATAATACCCTGGTTTAGATATAGCTCCCATATATATATATATATATAGCTCCCATATATATATCTATATATATATAGATATAGCTCCCATATATATTTTCGTCCGATATAAAGTAAATGGTGCACCGAAGTACCTAAATAACTTTCGATTCCCACGAAATTTGGCACAGCGTACTGACTTGTTAACAGAACGGTGTGTGTAAAATTTCTTGAAAATCGGATCAGATTTAGATATGGCTGACATATATACTTTCGACCGATTTAATGTAAATAAATCACCAAAGTCCCTATATACCTTTCGAATTGCACGAAATTTGGCACAGCGTACTGAATTAGGTCTAGAATGATGTGTGCTAAGTTTCCCGAAAATCGGTCCAGATTTAGATATACCTCCCATATATATTTTCGACCGATTTTATGTAACTGGTGCAACAAAGTCCCTATATATCCTTCGAAGTGCACGAAATTTGGCATTGCGTACTGAATTAAGTCTAGAATGATGTATGTTAAATTTCGTGAAAATCGGTTCAGATTTAGATATAGCTCCCATATATATTTTCGTCCGATTTAAGGTATATGGTGCGCCAAAGTCCCTATATATCTTTCGATTTGCACGAAATTTGTCATATCGCACTGAATTAAGTCTAGAACGATGTGTGCTAAATTTTGTGGAAATCGGTTCAGATTTAGATATAGCTCCCATATATATTTTCGACCGATTTAATGTAAATGGTGTTCCAAAGTCGTTATATAGATTTCGATTTGCATAAAATTTGGCATAACGTACTTAATTGAGTCTAGAATGATGTGTGCTAAGTTTTGTGAAAATCGGTCCAGATTTAGATATAGCTCCCATTTATATTTTCATCCGATTTAAAGAAAATGGTGTTCCAAAGTCCTTATATATCTTTCGATTTGCACGAAATTTGGTATAGCGTATTGAATTAAGTCTAGAATAATGTGTGTTAAATTTCCCGAAAATCGGTTCAGATTTAGATGTAGCTCTCATATATATTTTCGTCCGATCAAATGTAAATGGTGCACCAAAGTTCCTATATATCTTTCGATTTGTACGAAATTTGGTATAGTGCACTGAATTAAGTTTATAACGATGTGTGTAAAATTTCTTGAAAATCGGTTCAGATTTAGATATAGCTCCCATATATATTTTCGACCGATTTAATGTAAATGGTTCACCAAAGTCCCTTTATATCCTTCGATTTGCACGAAATTTGGCATAGCGTACTGAATTGAGTCAAGAAAAAATGAGTTTCGGAAAAATCGGTTCAGATTTAGATATACTCCTACATATATTTTCGTCCGATTTTATTCTCTGGTGCACCACCTCGATGCAGATGCAGACATTGCTTCCATATGTAATTCGAACGGGTGTCTGATTGAGATTAAATTTTTGACAGTGCGGCATACCAACATTTGTCCCATGGTACGCAGACGACTCTAAATCTGCCCGAATGAAATTAAATTTAGCATAGGTTGCAGAAGGACATGAATATGTTCCTTCGAGGGAACATTCAGATGCATTTGTAAGGATTAATATGTACAAAGTGGTGAAGGGTATCATATAGTCGGCCCCGTCGGACTTTACTACTTAGCTTACTGGTTTTTTTGTGAGTATGTGCATATATGTAAATAAATTAAATTAAAGCTCATGCAATTGAATTATTTACTATTAGTGTATGTTTGTGTAAGTGAAACGTGTGCATTCAATGTGCATTTATTGTTTGCAAAAATAGATGGACTGACTTACCATGCTTTTCTTGCATTTCGGAAATTCGTTTATCCAAATCTTTTTTGGTGGGGCGTATTTCATTTTTCATTTCACCATAGGCCAACTGCAAAATAATTTACCAATCAAATAATTATTTCAAAATTTCGATTTTTTGTAATCTCCTCACCTCCTTTTCCAAACTGGCAATTTCATCGTTCAAACGCAACACTTCCCGCTTGGAATGCAACAAATCAGCATCGGCACGATCCAGACGTTGACGCAGAGAATTTATCTCGGCATTTAAACGTGCCGCCTCGGTTTTATTCTCACGCAAGGCACGATCCAGCTGCAAACGCAATGCTGTTATCTCCTGTTCCAATGATTGTTTCTCAGCATTGACCTGGGCCATATCGGCCAAAAATGTGGAGCGATTGGAACGCAGCTCCATTTTCAATTCCTCAATTTGAGAATTGCGATTGGCCAAATCACGTTTCATGTCACCTTCAATGCGCTTCTGACGTTCCAGCTCCAATTGCAGTTTGGCAACCTGTTCCCATTGGCTACTCAAATCACCACCCAGCTGATCAACTTGGTTGTTATAACGTCTCTCGGCATTGGAACGTTCTTCGGCCACACGTCGAGCCATTTCCATTTGTAATTCCCGAACACGTTCATGTTGACGATCGAGTTCGTCACGTAAGTGTCGTACCTCCATTTCGGCCTGAGAACGTTCCATTTGTACCAAATCGTTGATGTAACGCTTCTGGGAATTCTGAGAGTATTGTGCGGACTTAGCCTCGTCTAGGGATTTTTGCAAATGGCGTATTGTCTCCTCCAAGGTGGACTTATCCTTTTGCAGCATATCAATTTGTTTGCGATGTATTTCACAATTTTGTCCTGCATTTGAGGTGGTGCTAACCATGGCCAAAGGGTCACTTCGTGCCAATTTTTTCTTCAAGTCCTCATTTTCCGTCTTGAGACGTTTCAAATCGATTTGAGCCTGCATTAGATCCGCTTCCAATTCACTTATCCTCGCCTCATAGACAATATTGGGGGCAGCAGCATATCGGGGACTCTTCACCTCCTTTTTCCGAGGTGTCACCGATTTGGATTTTCCATAGATATCATCAGAATCAGATGAGGGACTGGTGTTAGATTTATCCCCACTCGTCTTGCCCAAATTCCCCAACTCGGTGCGAGCAATATCGGTCAACTGTTCATTTTCATTGATCACATCCTTAACCTTGCCCAGCAGGTTGGTCAATTCATTGCGACAATATTTCGATTCCTTCTCCAGCTGCTCAATATAATCCTCTTGTTTTTCAATAAAATTGAAAATTTCCACCGGAGCCTGGACGCTGTCAGTGGGTGGTGTGGTATGAGGTTTAGTGGCCGCCACTGTGCTATAGTAGTCCACAGTGGCTGTAGAAGGATTTGCCAAGGCGGTTGTAATCGGTTGGCTTGTTGGTTGATACAATGTCGAAGGGGCGGCTAAATTCTCTTTCGATGCTGAACTAAAGCCGCTGAGAGCCTTCCTTGCCCGAAAACCTCCACCTGTTACTGTGGTTCCCAGACGATTTTTCTGGCTCGGTGAGAGATATTTGGATATATCAGCATAGACGGGCCGATCAATGGTCTGCAATAAAAAAAATTATGACATGGATTTATTATTTAATATTATTATTTTTGAGGACCACAATAAGGCGTGGATTCATAAAAAAATATTTTTTAAGGACCACAACAAGGCGTGAATTTTTAAAAAATATTTTTAAGGACCACAACAAGGCGTGAATTTTTAAAAAATATTTTTTGAGGACCACAATAGGACATTGGTTCTTAAAAAAAAACTTTTTAAAGACCACAACAACTCGTGGATTTTTAAAAAAATATTTTTTAGAGACCAAAACAAGCCGTGGGTATTTAATAATATTTTTTAAGGTCATCAAGGGTGGCATAGGAGATGATATATGCCAAGCAACAGCTCAGATTGGCTTTAACATGGCGAAATCCAGGCTTATCTTGATCCCTCTTTCATCTCATTTGTGGACACTGACCTCCCCGCGGTGTCAACTGGGGTAGCTATTTTCATCACCGGTTGAAATAGTGATCTAATATGTGCCGCGAATTCACCCATAAGAACTATAAAAAAATCGGCCAAGGCGTCGGGTTAGTTGTACACATTCGGAAAACCTCTCCTACTATGAAAAAGCAAAGAAAAAGAAAACCAAACCCCCCTAATGTTGACGACCCCCGCAAACGTATAAAGGTTTCGTCAACATCTGCGAATCTGCACTTGGAATGTGCACACCTTGTACAGAAGAGGCGCAGTTTTCCCTTTTGAGGATGTACCCAAGAAGTACAAAACCGAGAATAAAAGGCTTCGCCTCCAGATTCACTCCAGTAGATGAGCGAATTACTATAATCCGCATAAAAGCGAAGTTCTTCTACATCAGTCTTATTTGCGCCCATGCTGCGACCGAAGACAAAGATGAGCAGACCAAAGACATATTTTATGAGCTCCTAGAAACAGCATATGATCGCTGCCCTGACCATGACATTAAAATTCTGCTAGGAGATTTTAAGGCAAAAATCGGAAGGGAAAATATCTTTGGTCCCACCGTCGGAAAATTCAACCTTCATGAAGAAACATCAGACAACGGCATGAGGTTGATTGACTTCGCGGCAGAAAAAAACATGGTAGTTAGCAGCACCAGATTTAAGCATCTCGATATACACAAGGCCACCTGGATTTTTCCTGATCAAGCAACGAGAAATTAAATTGATCATGTTGTGATAGACGGAAGGCATTCATCCAGTGTATTAGATGATCGGTCGATCCGAGGAGCGAATATCGATTCGGACCACTACCTTGTAGCAGCCATGGTTCGCACTCATCTTAATGTTGCAGCAAAGGTGCGATCTAACACAACACGGAAACTAGACGTCGAATAGCTGCAAACACAACAGGTAGCCGAGGCCTACTCCGCTCAACTTACCCACCTGATTGACGAAAGCACTTCTTGTCCCGATAAAAGCATAATGGCAAAAAATTTCCCACTCCCTACATACTGCAGCAAAAGCAACACTTGGGTACCAAAAACCACCACCAAGAAGATACCCAGAATAAGAGAGGATGGTATAGAGTGTATACCACCTAGCCAAGATGAGGTCATAAAATAAATTAATCAGCTCAAGAACAATAAAGCTGCAGGAGCCGACGGGTTACCAGCCGAACTATTCGAGACTGGTGGTCAGATGCTGGTCAGGAGTATGCACCAGCTGATTAGTACAATTTGGCTAGAGGAATACATGCCCAATGATTGGAACCTCAGCATCCTGCGTCCCGTGCACAAAAAAGGAGACAAGACGAAGTGTACCAACTATAGGAGGATTAGCCTTCTTCCCATCGCATAAAAAATGCTATCCAGTGTGCTGTATGAACGATTGAAGCCAATGGTCATTGACATTATTGGACCATACCAATGCGGCTTCAGGCCTGTCAAATCCACCATTGACCAGATTTTCACTCTGCGCCAAATCCTGGAAAAGACCCACGAAAAACACATCGACACATACCACCTATTCATCGACTATAAGGCCGCATTTGTTTAAAGCCATGTCTACGTGCGGCATTCCTCCAAAATTAATACGTCTATGTAGGATAACTTCAAGTGGCAAAAGGTCAGCAGTTAAAGTCGGAAAGGACCTATCGGAGCCCTGCAATACCGAACGAGTATTCAAACAAGTTGACAGTTTGTCGTGTAATTTTTTTAACATCCTGCTGGAAAAGGTCATTCGAGACGCAAAGGTGGACAAAAATGGCACTCTGTACACCAAACAACACATGTCATCGATATAATGGGTCGAACATTGTGTGCGGTAACAACCCCCTTTGAACAAATTGAGAAGGAGTCTGCCAAAGTGGGTATGGTAGTAAACGGCGAGAAGACCAAGCTGATGGCATCAACGCGCAAGACTTCCAGTAGACTCGGACCAACTTTGGAAGTTGAGAACTGCAGCTTCGATATAGTTAAAGATTTTATATACCTTGGTACCGCCACAACTAAAGCGAATGACATCAGTTTTGAAATTCGGAGAAGGATGTGATGACCAACAGATGCTACTATGGCCTAAGTAAGCAGTTTAGAAACAAGGCCACCTCCCGCCAGATCAAACTCACACTTTACAAGACGCTGATACTACCCGTGCTGTTATATGGATCTGAAGCATGGGTACTTGCGCCAGTAGATGAGGCAGCTCTTGGGGTGTTTGAAAGAAAAATTCTCCGAAAGATCTACGGGCCGATCGGTATCGACGGTAAATATCGGCGTCAAATGAACCACGAGCTTTACAGTTTATAAGCGGACATCGACATAGTCAGTCGTATTGAGCTGCAGCGACTACGATGGCTAGGCCAAGCAAATGAATGAGAATACCCCAGCTCAAAAGGCATATAAAAGCGAGCCTAATTATGGTTCCCGTAGAAGGGGAAGACCACGAATCAGATGGTAAAAACAACATCTTGAAACGTGGTATTTACAAATGGAGGAGATGCGCACAAGACCGATGCGCTTGGAAATCTTTTTTTAAGCTCGGCTTTAGGAACTACCATTCTGTAAAAAGCCTGCTAAGTAAGTAAGGACATCAATGCGTGGATTTAAAAAAAATAATTTTTCTTAAATATTTTTCAATGAAAAATCAATTATGTTCCAACGGCAGTGTGGATTTTTTTACTTACCGACATATTATCCGAATAATTATCCGCCGAAACATCATCATTGATATTCCTCAAATACGAACTGCTGGCCGTTTTCGATGGTGAATATGAGTCAGAGGCCAACATCAACTTCAGGCGCCCGACCGCCTCATTGTACGCATAATTGGTGTAATCCATGGCTTTCGATTTCTTATTAATGCCGCCACCTTTTAAAGGTTTCATGGAATTGATTCTGTTGCAATGCAAAACAATTATCTTAAATTATTAATAACTCTAATGAAATTCAATAATTTTAGTTTTCTCTTTTTTATTTAATGTTATTTTCTTGGTGTTTTCAACATTTTGTAATAATGTTTACTGTCGACGAACAACCCCTTGCTATGCATGCTAATGGACGACTAAAGTGCAATGCAGTAATGAAAAAATTTGTTGGCTTCAATCGAATTGGGTTTCTGTATAATACCGACGCCAAACGATTGTGTTTGCACTACAAAGTTCATGGCTAGTAGTAGAGGGGTTTCTTCCGCCTTTAACAAGTGTTTGAATAGGTGTCTGAGTATGAGTGTGTGTGTGTTGGTTTAGGACAATTGGTCAAGTTCGGTTACTTAGGCAACGGGCTGAGGTCGCATTTGTTTTGGGCCAACAAAAAAATTCCAATAAGTCACCACTCACTCTCTAACCACCCCTATTTTGTAGTTTAAGGCCAGTCAATGGCGTTAGGGGTTGTTGGTTTTGTAAGACTAACTATTTTTGAAATATGGCTTAGCATACGGAGTTCTAACGGTAAGCGGAGACTCGGTAGATAGTTTGCTTTCGACAATAAAATTTGAATAAATTGAAAAGAAATATTGAGACAGAATTTTAATAGAAATGCCGCATTATTTGTGTAACCCAACCTCTATGTAGCGAATTTACATTTGAAAATGTCGTCACAATTTGCTGATCAATGTCAAGTGCATTTTAAAACTGTTGTAAACATGGGGTGACTTGACCCCCTACGTTCTAGAAGATTATGATTAGACATTGAGATGGACACTTAAAAGGTTGTGGTCATTTTATTGAGTATGTTGATGTTTCAAGACCAAATAAATCACCTCAACGCATGGTCAGAAGAAACCACCAAATAAATTAATAATTATAAATGGTATGACCAGAGCATACATAATAAGTATTTGCATGGATCTCCTAGTGGATTTTATTGGAGATGAAAAATAACCCCATTATCCATAGATCAAAATTTTAAAAATATACGCGCTACGTATCAAAAAATATTTCTTTAAAACTATACAACCGAAGAGCCCTTTAAAAATATTTCCTTTATAAATCTACACGCTATGAACAATAAAAAATATAATATTGTTTAAAAAACTTAAAACGTAATAGGAGCCCCGCAAAAATCTACGCCCTAACAGACCTGATTTTTATACCCTTCACCACACTGTGGTACAGCGTATTATGTCTATGTGCATATGTTTGTAACAGGCAAAAGGAAACGAGATAGACCCATGGTTCCTTTTGAGAATATGCATAGAATCACTTTCTGAGTCGAGTTATGCATGTCCGTCCGTCTGTCTGTCCATGTTAAATTGTAAACAAAGTACAGGTCGCATTTATTATCCGATTTGGATGAAATTTGGCGCAGCTCACTTATTTGGCACAAGGATGAACCCTATTGAAATTGGGAAAAATCGGTTAAGATTTAGATATACCTCTCATATATATTTTCGTCCGATTTAATGTCAATTGTGTACCAAAGACCCGATTTGCACGAAATTTGGAATAGCGTACTGAACTAGGTGAGCGGAGCAGTATAGTCGGACGCGTCCGACCATACGATACCCTTCACAACTACCACAAAACTATATCTTTCTGCGGATTTTTATTCCGATTCTGGGTAATATTTCGTGATAGCTGCACCCTCTTCCTTACACTGACATATTTTCCGAATATTACCAATATTCAGTACAGCCCTTCTAAGTACTTGCCCACACTCCCTTCACCGTGGGTTGTGTGTGATATTCGGCATATAATTGTAGCCTATAGATTGAATCGAAAAAAAAATAAGTTTTCGATCCACTCCATCCCAAAATTATTATCTGATCAATACCGAAAATTCTAGGCGTTGTGCTTGACCATAACTGGAACTTCATGGAACACTTCAAAGTGATCAGTGTTATATTTCCGCCCTCTAGTTTGGTAATGGTTTATGAAATAATATCTGAATACGTAAGCACCTGTAAATATTTACGTGTAACTCCCACATGCGAGTACATACGACGATGTAATTGGTATCAATTTAAGGGGACCCCCATTCTCGGGGTCAATTTTTTTTTTTTTTTTTGATTTAATTCGAATCTACACTAATTCAAGAATGTCCCTACAAAATTTCAAGTGAAAATCTCAAGAACTCTTGAAGATATAGCCGATTTATTGTGTCAGAATTAAGTGACGGCTAAAGGGCTTCTCAAACTTTAAACGGGTTTTTCTCTTTTGCGAATGGCGGGCACGATAACTCAAAAACTAATAACCCAATCGATTCCAAATTTTTACACGTTTCTATGTGAGTGTATAGCTATCGTATGAACTAGGATAAAGCCAATCGATGAAAATCTTCCTTATTTTTTAACTTGGTTTTTGGTCAAAAATCGGCGATTTTCCAAAAATATTTTTTCAAAGTTCCGCCATTTTATTAATTTTAGAGCGAAGTCAATAATGCTAGTTCATACGAGAGCCAGACATGTACTCTTTCTAACACCGTTGGAATTTTCGGATTCCGATGTTCCAGTGAGGAGTTATCATGCCCGCCATCGAAAATAAGGACTGTTCTTTAATTACAAAAAACAACAACAAAGCAATAACAAAAATTGTTTGTAAATTATTTTTCTTCTCTTTTAAAACTTAAAATTTATATGTGCAAAGTAAAAAAAAAAACCTTAACAAGCATTGGTATTGATTTACCAGCCCATTGAAAATCTTGAAAAACTAAAATCGAGAATGGGTGGGGTTCCCTTAAAGGCCAACCACTCCTCTTCGATATACAATAAAATTCTCGACTCTATGTCCTTCAGGAGTAAATATGTACGCTATAGACTACAAATTTTGTAATTTTACACACAAAAGTCAGGGTCCATTTGACCCGCTAAATATTGACCGATCTTTATCAAAACAAGCATGCTTAATCTTTGGCCCAATCCCTTTCTCCATTTAAAAATTCGAGATGTTTGGGCCATAATTGCGGCCTCTGAAGCGACCAGAAAAACCCACAAAAATTAAGTATTTGGTCCATTTCATCCCCTTAATCAAAAGCAATAGGGGTCTTCATTGGGCCAAACCCATCCTACATGCAAAATTTCGTGAAGATTGGTCCATAAATGTGGCCTGTATCGTGTTTACAAATTATAAATTATATATATGCCTGGATCGACTCAGCTAGTCGATATATGACGATCGGTATACTTAAAGGTGGGTCTAGGACCAATATTTCGCGGCGTTACAAACTTTTGTTTAGATTTCTATATAGCTCCCATATATATTTTCGTCCGATTTTATGTAAATGGTGCACCAAAGTTCCTATATATCCTCCTATTTGCACGAAATTTGGCATATCGTACTGAATTGAGTCTAAAACGATGAGTGGTAAGTTTCGGGCTCCAAAATATGCATATTTATTGGTCCGATTTTACATAAATTGTGCACCAAACTAAGGATACATATCCCCATAAGGCGTAGATTTTTAAAAGAATATTTTTTCCAAAGGCCCATAAGGCGTGGATTATTAAAAGAATATGTTTTCCAAAGGCCCACAAGGCGTGGATTATTAAAAGAATATTTTTTCCATAGGCCCACAAGGCGTGGATTATTAAAAGAATATTTTTTCCAAAGGCCCCTAAGGCGTGGATTATTAAAAGAATATTTTTTCCAAAGGCCCCTAAGGCGTAGATTATTAAAAGAATATTTTTTCCAAAGGCCCCTAAGGCGTGAATTATTAAAAGAATATTTTTTCCAAAGGCCCCTAGGCGTGGATTATTAAAATAATATTTTTTCCAAAGGCCCATAAGGCGCGAATTATTAAAAGAATATTTTTTCCAAAGGCCCCTAAGGCGTGGATTATTAAAAGAATATTTTTTCCAAAGGCCCCTAAGGCGTGGATTATTAAAAGAATATAGGCGTGGATTATTAAAAGAATATTTTTTCCATAGGCCCACAAGGCGTGGATTATTAAAAGAATATTTTTTCCAAATGCCCACAAGGCGTGGATTTTTAAAAGAATATTTTTTCCATAGGCCCACAAGGCGTGGATTATTAAAATAATATGTTTTCCATAGGCCCACAAGGCGTGGATTATTAAAAGAATATTTTTTCCAAAGGCCCATAAGGCGTGGATTATTAAAAGAATATTTTTCCAAAGGCCCACGATGCGTGGATTATTAAAAGAATATTTTTTCCAAAGGCCCATAAGGCGTGGATTATAAAAGAATATTTTTTCCAAAGGCCCATAAGGCGTGGATTATTAAAAGAATATTTTTTCCAAAGGCCAACAGGGCATGGATTTTTAAAAGAATATTTTTTCCAAAGGCCCACAAGGCGTGGATTTTTAAAAGAATATTTTTTCCAAAGGCCAACAAGGCGTGGATTTTTAAAAGAATATTTTTTCCAAAGGCCCATAAGGAGTGGATTATAAAAAGAATATTTTTTCCAAAGGCCCATAAGGCGTAAATTATTAAAAGAATATTTTTTCCAAAGGCCCACAAGGGGTGGATTATTAAAAGAATATTTTTTCCAAATGCCCACAAGGCGTGGATTTTTAAAAGAATATTTTTTCCATAGGCCCACAAGGCGTGGGTTATTAAAAAAATATTTTTTCCAGAGGCCCATAAGGCGTGGATTATTAAAATAATATTTTTTCCATAGGCCCACAAGGCGTGGGTTATTAAAAAAATATTTTTTCCAGAGGCCCATAAGGCGTGGATTACTAAAAGAATATTTTTTCCAAAGGCCCATGAGGCGTGAATTATTAAACGAATATTTTTTCCAAAGGCCCATAAGGCGTGGATTATTAAAAGAATATTTTTTCCCAAGGCCCATAAGGCGTGGATTATTAAAAGAATATGTTTTCCAAAGGCCCATAAGGCGTGGATTATTAAAAGAATATTTTTTCCAAAGGCCCATAAGGCGTGGATTATTAAAAGAATATTTTTTCTCAAGGCCCATAAGGCGTGGATTATTAAAAGAATATTTTTT